TGAAAAGTCAAACTACTCTTATTTTGATTAGCTTTTATTTAAACATGGATAATATAACTCCAATTTTAAATGTGAGCACAAAAATATGTTGGTGCAAGTTATGGAGACATCACTAGGCTGAGAAACCCAAATAAACATTTCAAAGAGAGCAAAAATGTACAAGTGGCCAAATCAATAATCCGGTGCATTATTAAAAATGCTGGAGAGATTATATCTCTTGGCTGACCTGGGAACGCCTTGGAACGCCCCAGGATAAGCTAGAGGAGGTGGCTGGGGAGAGGGAGGTCTGGGCTTCTCTGCTTAGGCTGCTGCCCCCGCGACCCGGCCCCGGATAAAGCGGAAGAAGATGGATGGATTATTAAAAAGAATGAATGCACTGACCAGCTCGGCAACAACAAAAGGCCTGGAAGACCACAGAAGACAACTAAAGTGAATGATGGCAGAATTATTTACATGGTTACAAGAAATAACTTAAAACATCTAACCAAGCCAGTAACACTTGATGAGTATGTATGTCATTGTCATGGTCTACAGTCATGAGAACCATTATTAAATGTAAATACAGAGAGTTTACAACATGGTACAAAACACTGGTTACACTCAAGAACAGGAAGACTTTCCCAGAAAACATCTAAAACGGCGTACACAGAAATGTAAACAATAAAATAAATAAATAAATAAAAATCATTAAACAAATGAAACAAATGATGGGAAATGAAGAGCTTGGAAAAGAAAAACAGCTCACGATTGAAAGCACAGCAACTAGTACCGCTAGTGTTTACTGATGATGGGACTGCTCACAGAAACACGCCATTAAATCTGAAGAGTCCAGGTCTATGATCTCTGCTCGGTTCAGCCAAATGCTGCAAAACTGATTGTCCCTCAATACAAACAGATAATAACCAAATGTTACAGCTCCATAATCCAAACTAGATCTTATCACTGATATATATGCATATACTTTTTTTAAAATGACCTTTTGTGATTCCCATTGTGTTTCCACCAGGTATTATATTTAAACTCTTTTTACTTTTTCTTCTGAGTCCTGTTAATATGCTGTGTCCATGTAAGCTTTACATCAAAGTGCACTCCTAAAAATGTAAATGACATTAAGATAGATGAAACAATCTTTGCTTATATGTTTCCTGTTTAAATACACGATTTTGTTTTATTTTCTATGGAGAACTGAAATCCTCATGTAGTAGCCCAACGTTGTACCTGCTTAACTGCTTCTTTCAACTTCTTTTGTCTTTCATCCGCAAAAGCTGACTTTCCTATATATCTCAAGGGATTTGATTAAAGATATATTTAATCTTAATTAAAATTACTTGTGGGCTAAATGCTGTGCATTGAGGAGTTCCATTCACAGCTTCTAGATTCTGTACAATTTATACAAAACTGTATTGATCTTTTATCCACAAGTCTTTGACCTAATTAAACAATCTACCCTTTACACCCATTTTTTAAAGTTTAATAAATAATCATTCCTTCAGACCATATCATAGGTTTTTGTTCTATATCCAAAAACACTGCTCTCTAATTCTTAATTCACCGGTGCTTTCCTTTTCACCTCTCATCAAAGAGTCTTTTTCAGTTCTACACACAGACGCTTAAAAAGAAAGCTTACTTTTATATTCAGCAGTACTACAATCCCATTGCTAGATGGCGCCATCTGACAAACCAAACCCAGCAGCACATTGTGGAGAAACCTACTATTAAAAATAAAAGAAGTCCTGCAGCGGAGCTTAATGATAGTCTTTGAAGCTTAGACAGGTTTATGTGCAGAATGAGTGGATTATTTATGAACAGTGGGATTATAACTTGAAGTGAGTTCATATGAAAGGCAGCAAGTCACGAGAAGTGTCTGTGAGGGCAGAGGTCAGATGAGGACAAGAGAATCAAAAATAACAGAAAGTCTTAAAATCCAACATTATATTTTAATTTTTATATGTAAATACATAATATTCAGTCTGTAGCCCTTCGGTTTAGACAATAATACTTAAATATTGCCTCTTTATTTGTTTTTATACATAAAAAAATTCAACATTTCTGATTTTAGGAATTGATCGTTTCATTATTTTATCAATGCAGCAACGTTGCAGAAAGAGAAGGACACACAGTTATTCCAGCTTATTTGGCTGGAATAGGTTTCCAGATGAATTTGTGGCGGATGAATAATTGTATCTGGATTACATGGGGAAGTTATTTTCATATGAGTGTAAACAGCATAATTTAAATTACTTTTAAAATAGCATTAGTAAGAATGTGGTTAAGTATAAATAACTTCAGAAAATATGTGATAACAGATGTGACACAAATATACATGATTTGGATTAGACGGCCTACAGCGACGTAGTGGTTAAAGACGAGGCCCACAGACTACACACCACTAGCTCTTTGTTTCTGAGGTCATTCTGCCTGATAAGTTTCACTTTCGAGAGAAAACCTTAGTTCCCTATTTTTGCCTGGATACTGTTAAGATGCAGCCAGCTTTGAATTCCTATTGGTCAGAGAGGAGCTACTGCGCATGCGGCAGTTTTATTTTGAGTGTGGCGGAGTCTAAACAACAAACAGACATTTTTTTCCTTCTTTGTTACAGTCAGGTGTATTACCACCACCCACTGAATTCTGCTGCTGACTCACATCTCAAAAATCTCCAAATCTTATTAATGAGACAGCGAGAGAGAGATAAATATATTGGATATTGTGGCAAATCCTACTCAAAAAACAAACAAAAAATCTCAGATGAGGATAAGAGAAACAGAACTAGTAAAAAGTCTTAAAATCCAAAAACATACAACTTTGTTTTTATATTCCAAATGCATAATATTATGTCTGTAACCCTTGGATTCAGGCAATAGTACTTAAATATTGTGGTTTTATGTGTTTTTATACATAGTTCTACATTGCTAAAGTTTTCTCATGTTAATCATTATTAGCTTCATTTCTTTATCATTGCAGCAATGCTGCAAAACCAGGAAGACAAAAAGCCTTGACGACCTGGCGCTTAAATTAGATAACAGCCTCTTTGTTTGTGTGCCAACGCTTGCAAATCAAACCAGATCCAGCTTCATAAACACAAAAACGAAACCTAACAGAGTCATCACGTGGTTTCTCAGAAAGCGGCACAGATGGAGGGCTGTTTGAGTCCAGTGGCGGCGCTCTAACACCGTGAATGATCAGAAGATTTGCTGAAGTTCAACTTGTGTCATTTCTTTGTTAGCAAGTCACAGCCCAGAAGAGCATCAGCTGGGTGTGTCACAGTGACAACACACAGCAGTATTTGTGTGAGTTTAGGAATGTCACAAAGAAACACAACCTGAGGTGTGTTGTGTTTTTATAACCTCTCAAAATAAAAACAGGAAATGCATCAGAGCTCTGTCTGATTTTAGGTGGATTCCTTTGTTCTGGTTTGAAAACAATATACTTCTTCCCACTTTAAAGACAGGAGAAATCATTGAATGACAGAAGTTGTAAGTTTACATATGCAGGCAAAGATAAAGAGGCAAATCTAAAATTTAAAATATGTGATGTTGCTGGAAGCTAAATGAGATCACTCACTTTGTTCATTTGTTCTTTGACATTTCACGTTTTCTGAATTCATCTTAAAAACCTGCTCATTTTCTCTACATAATTAAAGCTGTAGCTCATCATCATCATGTTATAATGCTGAAAACAGCCTCTGTAATCTGGTTAAACTGGTTACTTTGGCTGCTTTCTCCTCACATTGCAGCATTTAGTGTCTAACCTTATCCCAGTTATTAAGTGTATATGTTTTTCATCAGTACGTGTTTTTCTCTGGTCTGTCTATCCCAATATTTTAGAGATAAAATCTTTTCTTTTTTTTTGCTTTGGTTTTTATATTTGACAACTTTATTGACTTTTCTGGAATTTAAATCATATTATAAGCTCATGAAATACAACAGTTACAAGCACATGACACCTGCACCTGAAACCTCTGAGTATGTTCTAGTTAAAGAGTCAGCATTATCTGATCTTGACCTCTTCTCATGTTTTCACTGTGCAGGCTTTCATGTCGCAAACTCTCAGGTTACACAGAGGTGGATGACCCCGGAGGTTTGCCAAGCTTTAAACTGCTGAACTGTATTTGATGGACCTCAACCAGATAACACAGTATAAAATTTATACTGCAGTATTTATACTATGAATACTGCTTACAAATCAATAATCTATTAAGTTCAATTATGATAAATATAAATCTTTTACTTCCGTTGGTGTTTCGTGACTTTTATTTAAGCATGGTTTTGACTGCAAGACTTTTACCTGTAAAAACATGTATATTGTTGGATACTAGTTTGTGGAACAATTCTTTTACACTTCTTTCACTTTGACTTGACCCTATAGTCCAAAAACCTGCATTTTAGGTTAACTGGTGATTAAATCAAGCATAGGTGTGGATGTGAGAGTGTATGGTTTGCTCTTTCTCTCTCTCTGGGCGAGACGTGTTAGGGTGTACCTTATCTCTTGTCCCGAATCAGGTGGAATAGGTGCAAGCTAAATTTGTGGGTGGATGAATAATTGTATCTGGATTACTCTGGAAACTCAAGGTTAATTGCATAGTTGTGTAAACATGAGCATAATTTAAACTACTTTTACAATGAAATTAGTAAGAATATGATTAAGTACAAATAACTCCAGAAAATATGTGATAACAGCTGTGACACAGTTATACATAATTTGTATGTGTCTTTAATCCCTACGTTACTTTAGGTCTCTAATCAAAGTCACAGATTAGGCGCTACTATCTTTTTGTTTCTGTCATTCTCCACTTTCTAAAATAAATGAGTAAATAAATAAACCTCGGTTCTCTCATTTTGCCTGGTTACTGGTGAGGCGCATCCAGCTTTGAATTCCTATTGGTCAGAGAGGCGTCACTGCGCGTGCGGACTCAGAGGCTGTAGTTTCATTTTGTGGCAAAATTCAAACAATAAACGGTTGTATTAATTTTTTCTTCTTATATTGAGAGAATTGAATTGAAAATGAGGACGTTTATGATGCTGCTTCTTTACTGGACAGCGTCTGTGTCTGCAGGTAAGCTTCACAAAAATGAAACTGTTCTTTAGAGATAGTGTTGCTCTCAGGTGGCTCAGGTGTTGCTGTAAACAGACTCTCGGCTTGCATATATTCAAGATTATTAGATTTTATTTTTATTTCGCAGGGTTGTTTTTTTTTTTTAACAGAAATACAAAGACTTCAACGAAACGTTGCTTCTCACCAGCCTCTACGGTACAATGATCAGTAAAACAAATAAAATACAGTGATAACAAATCTAAAATAAGGATAAATAGCAATGACGCAGCAGCTTGCAGAGACACTGAGCAAACTCAAGTGTAAATAATCACATTGATTCAGCTAGCAGCAGTCCTCTCACAGAGAGATCAGATTAAGTGTGTGTTTATGGATTGTAAAGGGAGGGGCCAAAGTCCATTTATCAGTCTCACAGTTTGTGCAGAAAAGTCTTCCGGCATCCTGCTGGTTCTGCAGCTGATGCTCCTGCACCTCTTTCCAGATGCTGGAGTGAGAACAGGCCATGAGAGGGCTGGTTTGGGTCCCTGATGTTTGTAGCTGTTTGCAGAAAGCCTACAAACAGCTACAAACATCAAAACCTAAATGAGTGTTGGTTTACAAATTATTTTTTGTTGAAATTAAATTTCTAATTGTAGAAGAAGAAAAATTTAAGCTGCTCATAATGTTTTATGGTGTAAGGTATAGGAGTGTTACATTAGCAAAAAGGGAAAGAAACAGTTGTAATCTGCACAATACTAAAAAAATGAACTCAGTGGCAGCCTATGGTCGAGTTAATGCCATAATAAGGACTGTAAATCATTACTGATGCAAAATGAAAATATAATCAAATCAAAATGACCGAAAAACACCAGTTTTTACAAAATGAATTGTAAAAGTTTTTAATATAAGATGATCAGAAAAGATAAAACATTGATTCATAAATATATTTGTATTTATAGAGCAGACACACTATAGTTTTTTATTTTGAAAATATGCTGATTTTTAAAGCTGTTTCTCACAACATTAAACATTTCTTCCAGTGAAGCACTCTCTGAAGTATTTCTACACTGCTTCCTCTCAAGTCCCAAACTTCCCAGAGTTCGTGGTTGTTGGGATGGTTGATGACGTTCAGATGGTTCAGTTTGACAGCAACACCATGAAAACTGTGTCCAAACAGGACTGGATGAACAGAACTATAGATGAGCAGTACTGGGAGAGAGAGACTGGGGGCTTTGTAAGTGCCCAGCAGGTGTTCAAAGCCAACATTGAAATTGCAAAGCAGCGCTTCAACCAAACGGGAGGTGTGTTTATGTTTTATTGTTTTTTTACTGATATTTGCTGTTAATGTTTTCAGCGTTTATTTTAGTCATAAACAGATTTGCATACATACACTTTAAAAATACTTCATTCAGATTAAAGATTTAAATACAGGATGACTCACGATGAATGTAAAGGGCAGATGGAGGGCAGCTAGTGAATCAGGAAGTTCAGAGGATGAGTAAAGAAGACGTGAGGGCAGCTGTAAGAGGATGAAGAGTGAAAAGGCAGTTTGTCCAGATCATACCTGTGGAGTTATTGGGATGTTTAGGAGAGAGAGCAGTGGACTTTTTAACCAGACTGCTTAACGTCTGAGGAATGGGGAAGCGGCAGTATGGCTTCATGCTGAAAAAGAGCACCACAGACGAGATGTTTCTTTCAGTGTTGATGGAAAAGTTTAGAGGAGGTCAGAAGGTGTTGCAAAGATAGCATGTGATAAGATGCCAAAAGATGAACTGTGGTGCTGCATGAGAAAGTCAGGGATGACAGAGAAGTATGTGAGGGTGGTGCAGGACATGTGTGTGTGGTTGGAGTGACAATTGGGTTCAAGGTGGGGGTGGGATTACGTCATAGATCTGCTCTGAGCCCCCTCATGTTTGTAGTGGGGATGGACAGGTTAACAGATGAGGTCAGACTGAAGTCTCCATGGACTTTGATGTTTCCAGTGTTGTGATCTGGAGTGAGAGCAGGGAGCAGGTGGAAGGGATGGGGTTATACGCTGGTGAGAAGAGAAATGAAAATCAGTAGAAGCGACACAGAGTAAATGTGTGTGAATGACAGGGAGAACAGTGTTACAGAGAGGATGCAAGAAGCAGAAATAGTGATGATTATTAATTTAAATGCCTAGGTCAACCATCCAAAGTAGCAGGCAGAGCACTGGGGAGGTGCAGGGTGTCAGGGTGTGATCTGTGGTACAAGCAAGAGTGAAAGGGAAGGTTTACAAGATGGTATTGAGACCTGTTGCGATGCATGGTGTGGAGATGAAGGCACCGAGTTGGAGGTAACAGAGCTGATGATGATTTTATTGGGAGTGACCAAGTGGCAAGGCTGACATGGTTTGGATGTTGAATGTGGAGCTGGGAAGAGAAAGACCTTGGAGGAAGTTCATGGATGTGGAGAAGGAGGATCTGCTGTGGCGACTCTTAAAGAGAGTGACCGAAAGAGGAAGAAGAAATGAAGAATTGTGAAGTCAAATGACGTTTTTCTCTCTTTCATTTAACATTTTGAAAACAGTATTTGTCCTGCGCTCACATCTTACATAGCTTGTCTTTAAGGATATTTATTATTATGTTTATTGAAACCAGTTGTAGCAACTCACTGCTGAACAGGCTTCTCTGTCCTGAAACCCTCCTTCTGTGGAAGCTGTGTTGAATCAGGTCAGGTGTTTTAGTCTCTGTTGACTTGTGTCTCTGTGTTTATATGAGACGATGCTGGACCTCACTCTGGTTCCCTGTCATCTTCTTCTCTGTTCTTCTTTCAGGTGTTCACATTGTCCAGCGGATGTACGGCTGCGAATGGGACGATGCGACGAATGAGGTGGACGGATATGAGCAGTTTGGTTATGATGGAGAAGACTTCATAATATTTGACCTGCAGACAGAGACGTGGGTCGCTCCACAACGACAGGCGATCATCACCAAACACAAGTGGGACAGTAACAAAGCTTTTATAACCAGTGTGAAGAACTATTACACTCAGATTTGTCCTGAGTGGCTGAAGAAGTATGTGAACTATGGGAGGAGCTCTTTAATGAGAACAGGTATCACATGACCAGACTTAGAGTGATAATTTACCTCATTTTTATTAAGTAATACATCTTTTTTATGACCAACACAGTTAAGTTCAGTGTATTTTCTCTCTTCCTCTCTGTCTACTAATCTCATGTGTTTTTTTTTAAACAATAATCAAAATGTAATTTATTCGTTAAATTTCATCACTTCAGCCTTTTACAATGTGTTTCCCACTCCCTTCAAATATTTTTCTTATTTCTTTATTTGACTCTGTAATATCCTTTGCATGGTACTATATGTACATTAATATATGTTAGCATGCTGTTAATACAGAAACAGGGAACATTGTTTCTCTTTACTCTCCAGTTCTTCCCTCAGTGTCTCTCCTTCAGAAGTATTCCTCCTCTGCCATCAGCTGCCACGCTACAGGTTTCTACCCTGACAGAGCCGTGATGATGTGGAGGAAAGATGGAGAGGAGACTCATGAGGGTGTGGAGATAGGAGAGATCCTCACCAACAATGATGGGACCTTCCAGATGAGTGTTAACCTGGATCTGAGATCTGTTCCAGCTGAAGACTGGAGGAGGTACGACTGTGTGTTTCAGTTCTCTGGTATCAACGAAAACGTCACCACCACACTGGATAAAACAGCCATCAGAACAAATGAAGGTAAGAAAATAATCAGAAATGATGAAGATGTGTTGTTTGTATTGTTTTGTGTTTGAGCTGATGGATGTTATAAAACATTGACTTTATTTTCAAAATCTAATTTTACTCTTTTTTTGTCGCCCACAATGGACCTCCTCATATGACACAGATCATATATAAACAGTGTTGGGCAAGTTACTTTGAAAAAGTAATTA